CCCCAGATCATCACAGCCACCATCATCACCTCCACCACCACTCCTTGGTCTCATAAGTTCGCACACAATGATGACGAATGATAATAATATGTATATGTTATGAGTCGTACCTATATATWCGCGTGCTCCTCCGAGATTTATACGTAAACGCACAATCGCATTACGCACAGTCGTCCGACCGTAATTATTATTATTAGGCGCCCGCGAGCACAGCGATAATATTTTAATAACAATAATAATATATGWATATACGTGGTTGTAGCTATATAACGATTATATAATGATATTCGGTTAATAATAACGTTTCGACCTGGACCGCTGCGGAAATACGATTATATTGTTTTCGGGTGGAAAACGAAATTAAACTCCTCCGCGCGCGGTCCATGTAATATCGAAACGGTACACATTATGTTATTATTATTATGCGCGCCACCCGATTCTCGCCCGAGTCGTCTGCTTACAATTATATTATATTATTAAGTTATTATTATTGTGCCAATAAATTATAACGGTGTAAGTATGTCCTGCGGCGGGGGKATAATTAAGGGATTATATTATGTGTGTCGATGGAAGGGAGAACTATCAGTATTCGCTCACCATACACGTCCCTATATGTAATATAATATAGTCATTCGAATTTTTTTTATGCAGCGATTACATATTATGTCGTATTAGTAGGTACATTATAACATATATAATGCATATATAATGTCCAAGTCGTATCTTCAATCGCTATTAATTGYGGTGAGTTTTGTTTAAATGTTGTTAAATATGAGGACGTAATACCCGTATGTGTACTGTGTAGTCTACGTCTTACAAGTGCGTAACATAGTAAATTTTACTCTCAGCTCCGTTAGTTTGAAAATTAGAGTGAATTGACCTTTTAAAAAATTAAAAGGTAAGAATATTATTAGACAACCTCATAGAATTTTTACTATAAGATGAAATATAAAGAATTGTAATATTTTTGCACATCTTAAAATACTAATAACTCGCTTCAAAATTAAAGTATAGTTAAAATTCTATGAAGTCGTCTAAATAATATTCTTACTTTTAAATTTTTTAAGAGGTAAATTCACTAATTTTTAAACTAACGAAGCTGAATGTAAAATTTGCGATGTTACGCACTTGTAAGAAGGAAAGATAAAACGTGATGCGGGTATCACGTCTTTTTAAATGCACAATATTTGTCTTGGTCGAATTAACACTGCTGCATATACATTATACATATTAGTGCGACTTATCATACTCGACGGCGAGGCGTGCCGTTAGAAAAACCACCCCCGATTTTCACGCCCACGCGTGTATTCGAAATCACCGCAAGTGCATGTTTTTTCTTTGAATTATTTAATGTTTATACTATACGTATAATTTTAACAGTAACTTTTTAAAATGTTGCATGTACCTACTGCAGCTGATGGAATTTATTACAACGTTTTCCTTGACTTAAGCCGGGTGCTAATTACAATATTAATTATTATAATAATCCCATCGATTTTGTAATCGGTTGTTTTTGGGTGAATTCTATCTATAGCTGAA